CATGCTAACTCATCAGATATAGTTAGAAAACTTGTCTAGTATCAAATAAAGGTGAAGGCATGGTGGATCTTACCTATAATCCTAGCTGCTATAAAGGTATATATCAGAAGAACTCTGAAGCCAGCTCAAGCTAAAAACCAACAAGACCAGCTGGGCACTGGTGGCTCATACTCGTAAACTTAGCTACTCAGGAGGGTGAGATCAGCCCCGGCAGGAACCTATGAGCCTCATTTCCAATTAATAACAGAAAAAAGCAGAAGTGGAGTGTGGCTCAAGTGGTAGAGTGCTTGCCTTGAGCGAAAGACATTCAGGGACAGGAACCAGGCTCTGAGTTCAAACCCCAGGACTGTAAAAAAAAAAAAAAAAAGACCCCCCCACCTCAACAAAAAAGTCAGGTGTAGTGGTTCAGACCTATAATCCCAGCTATGTACAAGGCCATAAGAGGAAGAATTGCAGTCAGAGGGCCGTGGGCAAAAAATTGAAAAAATTGAAGACCTTATATTTAAAAAAAAAAAAAACAACAACTAAAAGAGGGCGAGAGGCATGAGGTAGGGAATACCTAGCAAGTAGGAATCCTAGTCACACACACACTCTCTCTCTCACTCTCTCTCACACACACACAATCAGTGAGCATGAAAAATCATTTCTCATAAATTCTCTGTTTTCTGGTACTTGGGCATAAACACAGGGCTGGGTCTCATAACTGGTGCTATACCACTAGAGCTAAACCTTCACTTTCCAGTATTTTTCTGGTTAATTGAATAATCTTGGATTTGTCTACCTGGGATGGCTTCAAACTTCAATCTCACCTGCCTGAGTAATTAAGGTTACCAGCAACTGCCATATAAATTCTTTAAATTTTCATATTCTAACCACATCACTACTGTCTTGGGTACAGTTGTAAAAAAAGTAAATGAACAAACAAAAAAAAACCCTATGTATAACTTTGTATTTCAACCAAAAACTCTTCAAATGGATTTTGTTTTCCCAATGAGGAAAAAATAATCAAATGAAATTAAAAACCTACATGATTTCCACCCTAATAGAATTCAAGAGCAACAACGAGCAGGTTTTATGAAAGCAAGCTATCAATCTTCCATCCCTTCTTGTAATTAGTCCTGAATACAGAATTCTGAATTATCTTCCAAGTTATCCAAATAAAATTACTAACTGCACTTCCCTTTAAAAAAAAAAAAATAGGAAGTGGCGCTGTGGCTCAAGTGGTAGAGCGCTCGCTTTGAGCTGAAGAGCTGAGGGACAGTGCCCAGGCCCAGAATTCAGGCCCCATAACCAAAAAAAACAAAAAACTAAAAATAAATAAATAAATAAATAAGCTGGACACTGGTGCCTTATATGTATAATCTTACCTATTCAGGATTCCTGGATGAGATCTGAGGATCAAAGTTCGAAACCAGCCCGGGTAAGAAAGTCTGTGAAGGCTCTTACCTCCAACTAACCAGCAAAAAGGTAGAAGTGGAGGTATGGGTCAAGTGGTAGACCTTCTGCCTTCAGTGTAAAAACTGAGTTCAAGCCTCAAATCCAGCACAAAACAACAATTAAAAAAAAAATGACAACGTGGAAACGTGATGACACAAGTACCATGCCGTGGGAGCTGGCTGAGGTGTGACACTTTCCAAATACCAGCAAACCCTGGCCTCCCCACTCCCGTGTGCGCGCAGGCGCATTAGAAGCAGTAGGCCAGGCTCCAGTGTGGCTCAGGTGTGGCGCAGGCGCACTGGGAGCAGTGGGCCGGCCCAGCTCAGCGCTCCAGGCCTCGTTAAAGCCGGGACCTGGAAGCTCACCCACAGTGGACCCCAAAGGTGAAGCATAAGGAAAAACGGCGTACAGAAGCCAAGTTATCTCTCTTCTGGGGAATCCACTGTTTTCCTCCTCCCTAAATCACAACCGGAAGGCCCACTCCTCCCCGCCGAGGCCGCCACTTCCCTTGGGGAATGGCGGCATCAGGAACCACGAGCTACAGTCTGAAGTTCTAGAGGCCGCTTACCGGGAGCCCCCGACCCAGTTCATCTCTCCAGACCTTCCTGACGGAAGCCACTCAGACCACCGGGCCGTGGGGCGCTGAGGACCCTCCGCCTGGGCCAAGCCTGACAGCTCCCCTCCCGTCGTTCCCTGCGGGCAGACACTCCTTCCGGTTCAGGTCCTGAGGCCCGCTTCTAGACAGCGTTGGGCATGCACTTCCGGCCAGGAGTGCGCTTCCGGCCAGCAGCCTCTTTTAATTAAGGCCTCTGGGAGCCCTGTGGGGAAGCTGTGCGGTAGAGACCCAGAGACACGGGAGATAGAAGTTCAAAGCCAGCCCAGGCAGAAAAGTTCAGAAGACTTCATCTCAAAATGACTAGCAAACGCAGGTCGGGAGGTGTGGTTCAAGTGGTAGAATGTGGGCCAGAAGCCTTGAAGTTAAACCCTAGTTTAAAAAAAAAAAAGGTAAAATCTTCCTTTAGCTGTGACAGTCGTAACATTGTAAAACTACTTACCAGAAAAAGTCCTTGAAGCAAAAATTGGATTTTACGGCTTATTTCTGTATTTTGGTTTTCTTCTGGTCAAAAAGCATGTATCTTACAAACTGACTTACAACCACTTGTTCAAAATAAATGCACAAAAGTGAAAAATAATTATTCTCCAGCGCCAGTAATCAGTTACTCAGGAGGCTGCGATCTGAGGATTGCAAGGCAGGGCAAGGAAAGTCTATGAGACTCTTATTTCCAAGTAATCACCAAAAAGCCACAAGTGGAAGTGTGGCTCATACCAGAATGCTAGCTAGCCTTGAGTTAAAAAAAAAAAAAAAAAAAAAACCTTTAAAGAGCCGGGTGTCAGTGGCTCACGCCTGTAATCCTAGTCAGGATACTGAGATCTGAGGATTGCAGTTCAAAACCAGCACAGGCAGGAAAATCTGTGAGACTCTTATCTCCAATAAACCACGCAGAAAAGTGGCACTTTGGTTCAAGTGGTAACTCACTAGCCTTGAGCTAAAGAACTTAGGGACAGCACCCAGGCCCAGAGTTCAAGCCCGAATACTGCCACCAAGAAAAAAAGAAATAAGAAAAATGAATTTCAGGCACTGGTGACTCACACTTGTAATCCTAACCACTTAGGAGGCTGAGATCTGAGGATCACGGTTTA